TAACCCTACTGTTAGACCTACCTGAAAAACTAAAAAGCAATTTATTTAATTCGAAGGCCTGTCGTTATTTTTTATTTGTGCTATCATTATTAATTTCTTTATTTGTTCTTATTTTATTACTGACTGCTTGCTTGTCATTTTTTATTCAATTCAAAGTTTGAAATCAAGCTATCTCGTGCTATTGCACCAAAATTACCCCACTGTAAAATAAACAAACACTGAGTGAGCAAAAATATGTGAGATAGTTATAATGGTAATTAAATAATGTTTACATATGTATAAAAGCCTACATTAAAATCTGTCATATAAATTGGTCTCTTCATTAGAAATTAGCCTACTGATTCCCACCATTGATGGACAATTTTTTTTAATAATATTAAAAATATCTGTATGACATTATATTCTGCAGTTCTTCCCTGTTGTACCGAATATCTATACTTTTCAAATTATCATATCGAAGTTAGAAATTCAAATATTGTGACAAAATTAATTTTGTAGGGTGCCACAAGTTTGTTAACATTTCCAAAGGGTGCCGCAACTAAAAAAAGGTTGGGAAACACTGCCTTGGAGTACCAAGAAAATACCATGGCAAATAAATACTGAAATCATTTAATGCCATGATTTATATCAAAATGCTATGATATTACAATTCGATATCTTCAGTGCAACACATTATGTGGCCATAAGTTGTGAAAGGTTGAGAAACTTTGATCTATGGAGGCTTTCATTCAGCATACCTTTGGCTGCCTTGCCTGTGTCTCAATTATGAAATATGTTTGAACACCTTCCTGAAAAATCCACAAAACACACCCCTGACCCTGAAGGCACAGCTGATGGCATGATGATTGATTTCATAACAGGTAGGGTATGCAGTGGCGTTCTGTCTGAACCTGCCTCATTAACACAGAGCACAGAGCTAGCTGAGTCATGCTAATGCTCTGTGCTAGAGCTTAAAACAGCTCTGATCTATAGATACTGTGACTTAAGATTGCAGTGAACTAAGACAGGACAAGGATATGTAAGAATCCAAACAACTAGAAATATGAACATATGCTCCCATGAGTTTTGCACATATCATGTTGGAACTGTGGCAATGGACCACACCAATGCTCCTTGACCAGCAGATGGCATCCTTCCATTGACCTTCTCAGACTTTAAGCCTCATTTAAGGTCAAAAATCTTGGATGAAAATACCCTTGCTACAGCTAACACTGAAGGTTGGTCATGTTTTGTGCCAGTTTAGCCTGACTTATTAAAGGTGTTAAGGGCATTATCTTTCTGTGAAAACTGACCGATGGCGACATCAGACTGACAGATATTCACTCACCTTACTGGCCTTCAGAACATGTATCTGCTCCTCATTCACTGTGTCTTTATTCTTCTCCAGAAAACCATCACACTGATACTCCACCTGACAGACACAGACAGACATGTGAGGTTATCCTATAAGAAAGAAAATCCATGAACGAGGATCTGAATAGATATAAACTCAGAACATATCAGTCGCTTTCCCCCCTCAGAATTGGAATTTATAACTTGCAATCACAAGTTTATATCTCACAATTTTGAGAAAAAAAGTCAGAATTGTGAGATACGAACTCACATTTGTGAGAAAAAAAGTCAGAATAACGAGTTTTCATCTTGCAATTTTTACTTTATTTCTCGCAATTGCAAGTTTACATCCCACTATTCTGATAACTCGCAATTTCGAGTTTAAATCTCACAATTCGGAGAAAAAAGTGAGAATTGTGAGTTTGTATTACGCAATTCTTTAAAAAAGTCAGAATTGTGAGATTAAAAAGTCGCAACTACCTTTTTAATTTATTTTTTATTCAATGGCAAAAATGGCCTTCCATAGCAATTACATGGAAAGCAAACAATAATAAAAAAAATAAATACTACTCCATTCTTCTTAAATTTTGGTCAAGTCTTTATATTGTAAAATTTGAGAAAAACTTTAGAATAAGGTTTCATACATACTGTTATTTTAGTATTGTTGAGGTACGATTTAGTTAGTCCACACAATAGCTGACATGAAATAAAAATTAACAATAATGCAGTTTACACCATTTGTTAACCTAGGTTAATGTTATGGTAAACATATGGTAAACGATTTTACATTCCAAGTATAGGCATGAATAAAACATTAACATTGTTAAATCACCAATACGTTCTTATTTTTATGGAATGTTGTAGTGTTTTTATAAATGATTAATTTGTGCAAATCATTATATATATTTTAAACATATGCAATAATATGGTAAAAAGATTATCGCAACTTAAATTTTATGCCAACTTAAATGCTGTAAAAAATCTAAATCATGATATTGTACCTGATTAACCAACTTTAATCAATTGAATTTTACTGTTAAGTGTTGCCAAGATTTATTTATACTTTTGTAACCCGTTTTATTTCAGAACAAACATCTGAGATCAATTAGTCATTGTACTTAAATAAATTATAGCTAAGAGCTCCATTAACCTCCCTGTTTTCCACTGGGCATAAATTACGTTATATTATGTATTCTATTAAATTTATATGATTTAGACTTTCATTTATATTAGTAATGCTGATTAGAGACTGAAGTGATTTAACCCTGAGGATGTTTGAGAAAGCACCTACTAATGCTCAAACCCTGATTCGACAATGTGTGTTTACTGAATGTCTATCACACACTCTAAATGTGTCTCATTACCCACACCCCCTTCTCCATCAGTGCTTCCTCACAGATATTGAACACCGTTTCTAAAAACAGAACTGTAGCCATCATGAGCTCATGTGAGGATGTATGCAGCAGTTGCTGTGTCATACAAATAGTGCACACAGGAGACTCGACTTCTGGTGTTAGCATGTTGCTAAGCTAACAAACTTATACTCTTAACGCATTTTTTAGAACTATTTTATATCTATTAGTATTTATTGTCTTTAAATGGTAGGCCTGTTTCACATATAATACATCAGTGGCCCATCTGACAAGAGCTTATGCAGAGTTAAAAGTACAAACTTAAATATTGTGATCTATTTTATATGAGGTGGATAACATGTATATTCAAATGGTAATCATTCTCCAGATGAACTGCATAACTCATCTGGATTCAGTCAGATTTACTGAACAGGAAGCATTTGTCTACCTGTTATTGTGCATGAATTTTGACAATGCATGAGTAAACTGCTCCACGATCGTATATTGCTTTATATTACTAAAAAGATTGTTTTGCTAAATAGTTTTAAGTGGAGTGTCAGTATTTCCTGCCGAGTTCAGCTTGTGTCACACAGCAAAAATAAGCTCAACACCAAAACATAACTCTCAGTGTCACATCTAGGACACTTCTGGGACACTTATGCAAGCAGTGAATGCTGTTAATCTGCTAATATGTTGAAATGATTATGCACTGTTTAAATGCAGTAAGTGTGAGGCAGCTCATTTGTCTTTGTTTAGACATTGATATATGAAATGACACACACTGTGTATATCACAGTTGATCAGAAATGCTGAACCAGCCTGAGTGTGAGCTGTGTATGTGTGTGTGTACCTTATCTGCAAAGTGCTGAATAATGAAAGCTTTATTGGACATCCGTGGTTTTTCAAAAAGTGCACAAGTCTTCAAATGAGTGTTATACAGTTTCTGAGCCCAGGAGTCATCAGAGCCCTTCGGCATCTAAGAGAAAGAGACAGAGACGGAGTACAGTATATGAAGTAAGAACAGTAGTCTCAAATAGGATTATGCAATTACAATTACACAACACTGTATTTGTTTGTTTGTTTTTACAGTAATGTACACTACCATTTAGAAGTTTGGGGTCAGTATGTTTTTTTTTAAAGAAATTATTAGCATATTAAAATGCTCTTCTTTGCCCCAATGGAAAGCATATTTACTAGAGCCCGACCGATATGGGTTTTTTGGGGCCGATACCGATATTGTATATCGATATATCGGCCGATATTCTTTGTGTATATTATAGTACAGTACCAGTCAAAAGTTTGGACACTTTCCCATTCATGTGTCCACACATTTGACTGGTACTATATATAGAATACAGTATATACATAAACAGAATATATATACATAAACACATTCAAATGTGGTGATCAAACACTTATAAATGCTCTAGACGTACACTCGATTCGCATTCGAGAGGGTTCCTCGAGCTGAAGGGAACCCCCAAATTTGGTGCGGATTCGCCGCGCCGTTGTGGAGATATGGCCGTTCAAAGTTTCAATGGTTTTCCATAGACTTCAGCTTTAAAGCGTTTCATCCAGGTCGCCAGTAGCAAACAATGGAGCGCGCTCTGCTGGACAAACTAAGTAATTACACCATTTCAAGCAGTTTATCTGCGTTATATGTTCTGTACAAAAAATGTCATATCGGTGGCATATTCGCCGATACTGATATATCGGCAACAGGCTCATATCGGCCGATAATATCGGCAAAACAATATATCGGTCGGGCTCTAATATTTACACTGTCTGAATCGTTCCCTACCCCCTATATAGTGCACTATGTGCCATTCACCATATAGAAAATATTAATTCTGTGAACAAGAGACTGATTTCAGTCGCAGGTCTATTTATAGTGTAGGGGGTGGAATGCTTCAGATTCTAGGGAACATTTGATTGGATAGAAAATCTGATGTCATCAAAATCGTTCATCCATATTGGCAGAAGTGAGAGACTGTAAGTTTTGAATGCTTATATCTTCTAAATGCAAATTTAACCTTGAGGCTAACATATACTAAAAGTAAAAATCTTAAATTTTGATTTCATGGGGACTTTAAATGGCAAGGCACTTTGACGATTTAAAAGCAGAAATGTAAAGTTTGTATGTCTCTTAAAGCGCTTCTATAAATTCTTCAGTAAAAAAATATGTGAAGATTTGTAAATCATTATGCATGCAATCAAATACCCGGTTTATCGGCATTACATGGTTATGACAGAAATACTGGATTTAACTTTGCAAAGACCAGGTTTATAAGTGATTTTTTGATGCTAGTCTCATGTTTAACTTATTAAAGTGTATATATTGTGCTTATTTTAACATATACAGTGGTGTGAAAAAGTGTTGGCACCCTTCCTGTTTTTTTAATTTTTTGCATATTTGTCACACTTAGAAGATTCAGATCATCAAACAAATTTTAATATTACACAAAGATAATGCAAGTAAATACAAAATGCAGTTTTTAAATTATTATTTATTTTATTAAGGGAAAAAAGCTGTCCAAACCTGCCTGGCCCTACGTGAAAAAGTAATTGCCCCCTAAATCTAATAACTGGTTGTGCCACGCTTTGCAGCAACAACTGCAATCAAGTGTTTGCGATAACTGGCAATGAGTCTTTCATATCGCTGTGGAGGAATTTTGGCCCACTCTTCTTTGCAGAATTGTTTTAATTCAGCCACATTGGAGGGTTTTCGAGCATGAATGGACTGTTTAAGCATCTCAATCGGATTTAAGTCCGGACTTTGATTTGGCCACTCCAAAACCTTAATTTAGTTTTTCTTGAGCCAAATCAAAGTCCGGACTTAAATCCGATTGAGATGCTTAAA